TCAAGATATCGCAGAAAACACAGAAAATTCCAAATGGATAATGCATAGAATCGGAAAATATATCGCGAAGAATACAATTTGTACCCGGTGAAAAATTTGTAGGACGGTAAGTATCTTCGAATATAAATAAAGATTTTTTTAAACTATTTTTTATTGATGAATTTATTAATAAAATAGTGCGCGAAACAAATAATTATGCAATAAAAAAGTTAGAAGAAAAAGTATTATTGCTCTACTTGTCCTGACAAACCGAAGATGCATCTTCATAAAATATCACATAAAACAACAATATAGATTTTAATATTCAATAAATTTTGTTATATGTAAAGATACATAAAATATTAAAATATAAAAGTTTTGCGTTAATTTGTGTGTGAAATCATTATAAATTAGCTGTAAGAAATTCCACCGAACGCACCGAACGTATCGAACGCGCGGGCCGAGTTTGGAGTTGCTGGTTCGACCGAGCAAAACAGACCTGGAGTGCAAAGAGTTAAAATATACCAACAACAGAATTATGAATTAATTTTTTTTTCTTAATAATTTCATAAATTGGATATTCATTTTTCATTCATACAATGATGACATGATTTTTTTTCTATTATTATTAAATTAATAATTTTCATTTTTTAAAAGAAGCATTTTGCAATTTTTTTTATGTTCATTTTATCAATATCATATTCTGTTTTGAGACCATTATTAAATAAAATAAAATATTGTTAATAATCTCTTAGAAAAATAATCTGAATAAATAAAAAATTTAAATCTATTTATTTTTTGATCGGGTATTATAATCAGATATTTAAATATACGATTAATAATCAATCTAAGAGAAATATTTTACTATTTAATTTTTTCAAAATGATTAACCGTTTGATAATCGTAGATATAGGCATTTTGCTATATCATGATAATATAATAAATAATATAATAAACATATATTTTTTCTAATATAAGCAGTACTTGCTTTAGAAATATATTTCATAAATAATAAACAATAATAATAATAATAATTTATAATTTAATAATAAACAAATTACATTAATAATTTATATTTATAAATATAACAAAGTAATTTGATTAAGATATATAATTTGAAGAGAAAGATATCAACGAAAAATAGTTTTTAATGAAATTCTTAATTAATTAATACAAGAATGTTTTAAAAATTAATATTTATAAATTTTTTTTTCTATAAAAAAAATTATATATATAAAAAACAAATAATTTAATTTTGAATCAAAAAATAAATATATATGATTCTAAACAAATAAAATAAATATTAAATTTATTTTTTTTTAATTAATATTTAAAACTTTTAGATATAATATAGTTTATAAATACATTTATAATTGTACCAGGATTTGAAAAAAATTTCTTGCTATTTTATAATTTTTTTTCTGGTTATTTTTGTCTTAATGAAAATTAAGCTTTAAATTGTATAAGAAGCAAAATGTTTTATAGACTAAATATTTTGTATTAGTATATAACATTTATTTTTCTGTTTAATAAAATAGAATTAAGATTAAATAAATTAATTTTAATAAAACTAATTTAAATCAATATTAAAAAAGAAGTATTAAAGGATAAAAATAATATAACTTAAAAAAAATAAAATTGAATTTATAAATTTAATAAAATAAAATAGATTAATTAAATATTAATATATAATCTATCATTTTTAAATATTAAATTTATCTCTGAAATAAGTAATTCTACTCAATATAGTTCAATACTTCTGATAGCAAATAATATATAAAAATAATATAATAAATTTTAAATGTGTTTTATATAAAATCCCATTATAGAATTTTGTAGCATTAAGAAATTATTTAATTAAAAATATTGAAAAAATAAATAATAAACAGATGAAAAAAATATAAGATTATTATGGATTTAACGTGGATGGACGTATTTAACTATATTGATTAAAATTTATTACCTATTTATTAACTATTTATTACTATATTTATTAACTATTATTTTGTATTTAAATTAGATTATAATTTATAACTATAAAGATGATCAATATTTACATTGTATTTATTTTTTATATAGGTGATACAAACTGTTTCACATACTGCAAGTCAACCACTTATTGTACAAACTATTCCATCTAGCACTGTTCAAAATTTTCAACCTGACGTATCCAGCACAGTACAAGATACAGTCTTTCGAGAAAGGAATGCAACATATTTTAATACAGTGCCAGCAACTTTGCAAAATTTCTTACCACCTAATTTATCATATAACTTTTATAATATTTCTAATGTTACATATAAAGAATGATTTAATATAACATAATATAATCATGTTACTCAAATCAATTTAAAGAAATACATGTATAAGTTTGTTTAATCAATAAGTAATAGATATTTCTTTCTAATTTTTAATTATTTAACATAATTTATACTTTATTTTAAAAATATAGAATTTCAAAGAATGTAAATAATTAAATAATTTATTTAAAAATAAGAATAAGAAATAATTGTTTTATAAAAATTGTATATTTTTATTAATGAATAATCGCAAAGAAAAAATATTTTTCAATATTTATATATAATATTTATCAATATTTTATTGATAATATATTTCGGAAATGTTAAAATAAGAATGATGATAAAGAAGTTTTCTTTTTTATAACTTGAGTTGCTTAAGCTATATACAAATAATATCTTACAAAATCTATTTCGCAAATTATATAAGATGTTAATATTCAAGATAATTTTGATTCAATTCTAAAGGTCAAAAATTGATATATCGTTTTAGAGTTATTTATTAAATTTTAAGCAATTGAAGTTTCACTAAACAAAACAGAAATCGTTCTATCCTAATTATTCTGCCTTTATTCCTGCTTCATCTAATTTATTTAAACTTGTTTATAACTTAATACATATATTTTAATCGATATTTTTATATTCCAACTTTTATGTTTGTTTAACCTCTAGAATCATTAAAAATATGTCACGAATTAACATTTTATATATTTATAGATGATTAGCTTGAAAAAAATCATTTATATGGTATTATATAGACATATATAGACAAAATAATGATGGAATTTTTACTATTTTTACTAAAAAATAATGTATAAATATTCACAAAATGCAATTTATTCATTTTTAAGTTTAAAATATATATTTTATTTTATATATTAATCTTTATTAATTATATATTTTTTTTATTTCTATTTTAAATAATGCTCATAACATATTCTTTTTGTATAAAATTGTAATTTTGAAAAAAATTAATTTTAATTTTTAGATATTGATAATATTTAATCTGTAATTTTTATCTTATAATTTATTTTAATTAAAAATAATAATAAACAATAATAAGAATAATACATAGATATTTTTAAAAATGTTTATTTATAATTATTAATTGCAAAAAATGTAGTTTTTATAAATTTTTTTTATGTAAGAATAAAGTAGATTATAACGCTTTAACAATATTTTTGTCGTTTTTTATGATTTTTTATATATGTTTACATTTATTATTATTAATAACAATTTACAATTATTATTATTAATTATTTAAAAATTATTCATAAGCAAATACGTAATTTCATTTACATATTATTTAGTATCTTTTC